CCCTAACGATCCTCCTGTCTTGGCCTCGCAATCGCTGAATTATAGGCATGAGCCACTGTGCCCAGCTATATTTTTGAAGCTTTAAAAATGAAATTTTTAAAATCTCCTGACTTTCTCTCCCTTAGTGGATTCCTCTCTAAATCCTCAACACACAGTTTCTAATGTTCTCTTCTCTGAGAAATGTTTAGAATACCTGTTGTCTTTCCCTCTTCAATGAAGTTTTTTTTTTGAAGTTTTTTCTTTGAAAAGGTCTAACAAGTAAAATTAGATGAGCAGCAGTTCCAGGTTATAGATATAAACAACTGGAAATTATAGTCAGAGCTGTTATCCATTGGACATCTCAGTAAAATTGAATTAATATTTTAATTTAGTATGCTCATAAAACTGTCTTCTAGATATTGTGATAAATAGATACATCACTTGTGATCTCTGTCACAAATATGTTAACCTTTGTTTTGTTCATTTTGGTGGGAAAATATTTTTTGTTTTCAAGAATGAGAATATTTTAACATTATTTAATTTTGCCAAACTAAATTTGTACTGGCATTTTCTTTAAATGTACCTTAAAAACCAAACACCACATGTTCTCGCTCATAACTGAGTGTTGAACAATGAGAACACATGGACACAGGGATAGGTTTATGTAACACATAGTTTTCCAGGTAGCAGATTGTTTATAATAAATGTTTGTGAACATTACTGTTTTCGTTTTAGGAATAACTACTGTAAGAGATGGTCTCAGGTGATTTCAACAAGTTTTAAGTATCTTCTGCTCTATTATCTTTCATCCAAAGTTCAGCCATAATGTCATACTAAGAAAATCTTTATGTTGCATAAGAATTGCTCTGTGCACCAACCTGGTCAACATGGCTAAACCCTGTCTCTACAAAAAATACAAAAATTAGCTGGATGTGAAGTCACACGCCTATCGCCCCAACTACTTAGGAGGCTGAGGTAGGGGGTTGACTTGATCCCAGGAGGCAGAGGTTGCAATGAGCCAAGATCATGCCACTCCACTCTAGCCTGGTCAACAAAGGGAGACCCTTTCTTACAAAAAAAAAAAAAAAAAAGGAAAAAAAAAGAAGAGAAAAAGAAGTACTCTGTGTACACAGACCATCTAGCATTTCTGACTTTTTGGTGAAATATTTTGGGAACCTTAGTACCACTTTTCCTACTTCTGTTCTTTCATAATGTGCAGTTTTTGAAGTGTGGTTCTTAAATGCCTTTAATATTTCCCACAAAGGCATACCAAAATGTATGACAGATGGGCAGAAGAACCTTAGTGTAAATATTCTGAGTCCAAGAAGGATGACCACAGCCTTTCTGACACATGTGTTTCCTTGAGTGGAGTGCATGTGGCATACACCTGTGCCTTCTTGCTTAGTAACAATTTCAGAGAACTATGCTTTTTTTTTTTTTTGGTTATAATCTGTACCTCCTAAAGCTTAATAGAAGAGCTTTTGCTAACTCGTGTGGTTATTTTTCTGTTATTTGCTTAGATCCTTACAATAGTCAATGTTTTGTTATTTTCAATGAGGGTTTAATAAATTTCTATGTACATAATCCTCTATATTACATGATAGGTACAAATAATTATACCATTTCTTTGTTTATATGGACAATGTAGACATGTATTAAACCATTGTTATATTGGAGTACATCAGCGAAATATTAATTAACCCTACGTGCCTTGGCATGCTGTAATCTGTTTTCTCCAGCTGAATTTAATATCTTTTCATCATCATAGGTGATCAGCAGATTCGCCAAGATATGTCTACTTGTGAATTTTCTTGTATTTGTCTGAAGTAGGACTCATTGTGCTTCCTGAGTCTATGAATTCCTATATTTCATCATTTCTGGGAAAATCCTCAGCCATTATTTCTTTAATATTTTCTCTTTTCCTTTCTTTCTATTCTCTCATTTTGGAATTCTTGTTATATATGTTGGACTTATCTCTCCATTTCTCTTCATTTTCCTTTTAAACATTTCATTTGAAAATTTACTTTAGTATATTCTGGTATTATCTCAAATCTGTATTCTAGTTTGCTAATTATTTCATAAGCTATACCTAAGTGCCATTTATTCTATCTATTATGTATTTAACTTTAGTAACTGCATTTTTTAGTTTTGGAAATTTTGTTTGGTTGTCTTTCAAACCTGATTTGCCCTTTTTAATAGTGCCTTGCTTTTTTTACTTATTTTTTTAAATTCTTATATGTCTTTAGTAATTTTAAACAAAAATTTTGTTGTAATTTATTATCTATTATCAAAAGTTCTTGATAATGCATTTGAAAATGAGATTTAATTTTCCTCTTACTAATAAGGGTTTTTTTGGAGGACATATAAAATAGTCTGTATTTGAGGAGCTTACCTTCAATGATCTTTTCCTCTGAGTATCCTTTTTGTCATTGAGGACATGTTTTCTAGAGAGGTTTTGCATCTGTTTCTGACAGATGCCCCAGGGTTATCAAGGTTCTGATACTACTGCTATATAAATAACTCAGAATGGGTACTCGAGGACCACCCAGGTAATAAAAGTTAGAGCCACTTAATACATAGGGAAATTTCCCATTATTTTTAATTTTCCAGGGAGATATTTGTTTTTTCAGCAAGCTCTCTTGCCAAGACAGACAAACTTACTTATTCTTTTCTGTTTCTGAGGGATTGATGTTTTTCTGGACTTTCAGGGGCCCCAGATCTAGATAGGCAGCTCATTTAAAAATTCTTACCTTGTCTCAAATAGCTGTTAAAACTGTATTTCCTTGATTCATTAAGAGTGCTGACCCTCTCAATTTAGTGATCCTAAGGCCATTAACAACCTCAGTTAATACTTTGTGTTTTAGTTCCTTCTTTTGAATTTTGAACCTTAGACTGTTACATGGTAAAATATTGGTAGAATTTAATTCTTAATTGTAGTTATTTAGTGTTTCTTTTCTGTTTTTCTTTTTAATTCATCCCTGAAAAAATGTGTGTGTGTGTGTGTGTGTTTGTTTGTATCTTTTAAATCTGTGAAGATTTTTAATGATTTAAAAAAATATTTACCATTACCAGAGATATCCTTAAATATTTACCAGAGATATCATAAAAGTTAATACTATATGCCAGAGAAATTATAGTTTTGTAGGACTACTGACTTATTTAAATTTTGTTATTACTTCTAAGGTCAAAGATCTGTTATATTTTGCGTTACTCATTTATCACATGATGGAGAGAAATGTATAATATGGAAATGTGGACAAGTGCCTTTTTTTCGTTGCCCTTGGTTAATGTTTGCTCTTATTTGATTCCCTGCCAACTTTTCCATTTTAAGGTATTTTTAATACATCATATATTTTAGCATTCCCCTATGAGAGCACATCAGATGTTACATTTTTCTCACATTGGTCATTTTATGGAATTTGAGCTATTAGGCTATAATTATGGTGTCTCTTAGGATCTCAACCCTTCCTCTATAGTCACAGATTTTAATACTTCTCCCTATTACTCTCTACTCACCAGATCTCTTAATTCTTTAAAATTGACTTTCTTGAAATCCGATACTTATGTGTCATAGAACCAGATGATCCAATTTGCTTTTTTGGCAGACGCCATACAGAGCTCTGCTCATTGCAAGTTTAACAAAAGACATTAGTACTCTCTGAGCTAGTCTGATAAAAAGAAAAAATGGTTTAGAAAGACTTAAATTTTAACTAGGCTTTTTTATGAGATAATTTATGCCAATTCTCTGATTTCAACTTTATCATTTTATGATATAAGGGAATAATAAGGACATTTAAAAGGAATATTAAGTTAATACTTTGAAGGAAAATTTGAGGTGTGGCTTGCTAACAAAATATAAATGTATCTTACTTAATAAAATGAAAACTAAGAATTTACGTGGACTTGAAGATCAGTATCAGCACAAGCTTTGGTTTCTCAATAATGTTTTCCAGTTTCATCTTTTACCATGTACTTCCTTTGAAGTTATTAATAATTTTAAATGTCAGGTAAAAATATTCTGCTAAATAACTGATCAAAGCTGGAAATGTATAAAGATGAATTAAAATAGGAGCCAAAAGCTGTTCTGGTGTCAACTTGATCTCCAGGTTCAGTTCTGGAGCCTTCATTCTCATTGTGTAGCCTTAGCCCAGAACTTAAACTTCATTTCTTTACAGATAATAATGGGACTATTAACAGTCCCTACTTCACATACAGGATTGTTTTGAGGAAGCATTTAGTATCTTACATGAAAACAGCTGGGCATGGTGGCTCAATGCTTGTAATCCCAGCATTTTGAGAGTCCTAGTCAGGAGAATTGCTCGAGCCTAGGAGTTCAAGACCAGCCTGGACAACATAAGGAAACTCTTTATCTACAAAAAATAAAAATAAACTAGCCAGGCATGGTAGCATATTCCTGTGGTCCCCAGCTACTTGGGAGGTGAAGGTGGGAGGATCACTTGAGCCCAGGAGATTGAGGCTACAGGGAGCCATGATCACACCACTGCACTCCAGACTAGGTGACAGAGCAAGACCCTGTCTTAAAAAAAAATGAATTAAAATGGTTCTTAGACCTTAAAAAGAAAACAATTCAAAGATTAAAAGGGTATTCTCATGACCCTGATGAGGTCAGCAGTTATCAAATAGAAGGTCAGATATTAAAAATAGGAAATTAAAAATTATTCCAAAAAATAGTAAGATTATTGGTGGTAACAAAAGTGATATGAAACTATTTGCAAGAATAAAAAGTAAACATGTAAAAAGTAATTTATTGAAAATCCCTTGAATGATACTAATGTGAAATTGCTTAATTACAGCTGAATATCTCAAGATGTTTTCATCTTTTATAAATCTTATGGAATTGAAGTTAAGAAATGATTATGGTAAAATACACAAATAGGCACCCTCAAAATAATAATGTGATTTTGCCACACATGTTTATAGCACAAAGACTTGTACAGATTTAATGAAAATTATCTTTGAAAAAGATGAAATGGCTAATAATCTTTTACTCTATCTTTTAGCATACGGCGGCATCAAGAAAGAAGAGCAATTTTGACCCCTATTTTGACAGATTTTTCTGTCCGAATAACTGGAGCACCTGCTATCATTTTCACCAAAATAATTTCTCCAGAAAACTTGCATTCTGAGGTTAGAACATAATTTTGATTTTATTTTAGTTTAAATAATGGAATCGCTCCTCTTTGTATGTTAGGGATTTGCACACTTTCAGCCCATAGGACTTATTAGCTCATTAATAATAGCTACTATTGAGCTAATATTTATGGAGCACTTTGTAGTACTCTTCAGTTATTGCTTTCCTTGTAATAACTCATTTAATCCTCATAATAATCTTATTTGCTATTCCTGTTATCGCTGTTTTGTAGATGATGAAACTGAGGGATAGAGGAGCTAAACAAGCTACCCAGATTTTCAGAAATAGAGCAGGCTGTGAAACCAACTGGTATGACTCCAGCCTCTGCACTTCTAAGTACTACAGCCTCCTTTTAGTGAAAATAATGATACTGACAGATAATTACATTACCTTACATAGGGAGTTCTACATAGATTACCTTATTTAGTCTTCACAACATTCTTATGAATTAGATACTATTAGTATCCATATTTTAAAGATGAGGAAACTAAGGTCAAAACAGGTTAAGTAACATAACCAACATTAACTGGTGGATCCAGGTTTCAATTCTGATCACTGTGGTTTATTGTCTCCATGCCTAGAATAGAAATGTAATAATAATATTTTTTACTATAGCTAAAACAATTCCTCATAGAAATTTTTTATGCTAAACACATTATAAACTTTTTGCTCATTCACAAAATTTTAAGTCAGTTATAAAAAGTTTGAAAAACTTATATGTATGTAATACAAATTTTTTGTATATCCATAAAAGTTGTATAAAGATTAAGTAAACCTAATATTTTATAGCTACTAAGTAACACCATTGGCTTAGAATACATGAAACTCCTTATAATATGCTCTTTTTCATACTAATGCTGCTATAAAAATATGAATTGACTCACATATTAAAATCATGTTTAAGAAATGCTTCTGTGTGTATTTGACTCAAAAAAATGGAATATCATAATCATTTTACATTATTAAGATTGCTTTTTCCTCCAAAAATATTCTTTACTTAGTATTTGGATTCCCAGATACTTATCATTGAATTCAGAAACGAGGATAAGAATATATCAAAGTGTTGATGAAATATCCTATCTTAATTAAGTCATCCTTGAAGGCATTTGAAGGCATAATTTGAAGGCATTACTAGAACGGTCCTCATTCCCAGGTAAAAGAGGCAGGGAGCTAAAGGTAACGAAATCTAGTTCTAGAACAAGCTCAGCTTTATACTAAATGATACCGTCCTAAGCCATTTATTTAAATGTTTTTTTCCATCAATTTTCTTATGCATAACCTAGTTGCCTCATGTATAGCTACTCCTCTTGCCCTCTAGATTGTTGTAAGGTTCGAACTGATCAATAGAAAAAATAATTATAAGAGGAATCTGAAAACCTAAAGTTTTATAAAAATAAAAATTATCCTTGTTTTTATGTTATTAGCTGCTGATTCTACCAATTACAGTCATACTATTTAACCTACTAATACAATAACAATCATTTGCAAGTTTTCACAGGATATATGTCACCAATAGAGCCAAGATATTTTTAGTACAAATTTTTATGCTTTTGGGTAATGTTACAGTGACTATTTTTTTTAAATCCTGAATTGGCATACTTTTTTCCCTTTTTGTCAATACTTGAGGAATAGAATAAGAAGTCTAATTAGAGTGAATTAATATAGTTACTTTGTGAAGGAAAAAGTTATTTAACAAAAACAATTAAGGATAAATGTTTCAGACAAGCTGTTCTTTATGGTTTTATTAAAAACTCCTCTAAGTCTTTGGACTAGTCACAGTCTCCTTAAATCCATTCTTCTGGATGATACTATAAGGAGAAGATCTGTTGCAGGACTTATTAAGCGAAGCTTCTGTATTGTTGTTTTGTTTTGTTCTGTTCTGTTCTGTTTTCCTTGTCTGAATGGTTTTCCAGTGATAAATGTTCAAGTAACTCAGTTTTGCAGAACAGCACCAATTATGTTGTGGACATCTACCCAATACGGCCAAGATTTTAGCAGTTTGAAGAAATGAAACTAATTAGTCTAGCTATCTTTTGTTTCAACACTGTTTTTTTTTATAAATCATTTTGAGTATATCCTTTGGAGAAAACTCATACTGTAGCTCTTAGCAATTATAATTGCCCGCCTACAATTGTCTGTGTACATCTGTCTGTCCAACTAGATGATAACCTCATCAAGAGTAGGTTGCCCTTTAAGGCCAACCTTATTCTTTGTGATATTCCTAAGACTCTACTGTACCTAGTACTTAGGAGATACTCAGTAAGTTTGAATTCATGAACAAGATTATGCTACACAATTACATTGTTGCTTACATATTGAAAACAATAATAATTTGCAGTATGAAAAAGTCAAATAGGTAGGAAAAGGTGAAGACTTCTTATTGTTAGTTGTGTATATCTAGCACAAGGCCCAACACATAGCAGGCCCTCATAAATATTTATGAACTTTATCTGTTGTATTGTGTCAAGTGGCTGTGCTTACCTTTTTTGCTCTTCTCATTAAAGTATGAACTTGAATCCTAGGAAACATCATCAAAGTATTGAAGGTCAAATAAGTAAGAATAATAAATTATCATCTGAAGGCTATCATGTTTCTTTATCTGTATTCTACTTTTTTGCTTCAGGAGATTTTAGTGTGTGGCCATTCCTTAGAAGTGAATATAACCACAAACCTGGACTTCTTTCTAAGTGTGGCTCAAGTTCAACTCTTACATCAGTTAATAGTAGCAAATATGACTGGACTGGAACCATCAAACAAGGCTTCTGAGGTAACTTACCTGATTTTGATCAGGCTTACTGTACTTTACATTCACAGTAGGAAAACTATAATTAAGATAACTGCTTTCTGCTTAATTCTGTATTTAACTTTATTCAAAATCTAGTCATAAATCGTTTTGGATTGATATTCTTTATTTTTGAAGTTTGCTTGGTCTTTATTCCTCTTATTTATCATGTACTTTTGCAAAATTGCTGTGGACTGACCTCAGAAGAACCTCTGTTATAAACATAATTTTATTACCCTGCTGAAATTCTAAAGTATGATGCGAGAATCCTGGTATAGCTTTCATTTACTCAGATACATTACAGTACTAAGGCCTCTTTTGGAAGTGAACTTTGTAAGAGTACTATGGGAATATCTTCAATAAATAACTTGTAAAGTATTCATTTCCCATGCTCAGTGGGAAATGAATGGACACAATCATAAAAGTTGAATGCCTGCCTAGAATTTTAATTTTGATCCGGTGTTCATTGGAAGCCTGTATTATAACCACAAAGTATGTCAGCATGAAACAAAGAAAGCTGTTTGTTAGATTCTTCTCAAGATATATATTCTTTGCATTTTGTTTCCACGTTTATCTAACATTCTGCACTTAGAATAAATATTTTATAAAAACTCAGGTGAACAAACTGCTTATATATGAAAAGGATGTTGCTTTTATTTTTGTCATGAGTTATAAAGCAGGCTTTAAGTTCTGTTTAGTAAGAAGGTAGGAAAGGAAGAGGAATTTAGGTCTTTCAAGTCAGCGCTATTTCCTCTCTGCCACAGATTGTGTACTGTAACTGTTAGATTATTCTCTCAGTCTTCTTGATTATTAAAAGAATGTTTTTTAATGAGAAATCTTTCACCTTTTGTAAGTGGAGATTTTCTAATGTAATCCTCCTTTACTACCCATGATATCTATTTATTCAATATCTATTGTAAAAGGACTTTAGAACTACATATTCTCCAAAATACTGACTTCTTAAATATACATTAGAGAATCCATAAAAATGTAATTATGTGACATCAAAATAAGCAAATTAAAAAGTATTTCCCCGTACATTTTCGATGAAGCATATAAAGCAAACTGAGTTGGACAAAAGTAAATTACATTCCGATGTTATTGTGCCTATTTTATAAATCTCTCCTATCAAAGAAGTCTAACTCCCAGATTACTGATTGTTTTAAGAATTCACATAACCTAGCAAATTGGTTATTAACTATTTATCTACATACTTTTAATGCCTCTTAGGAGGATCAATTTCAGTAAATAAAAGGATACTCAGAGTTACTAACTATCCTTCCCTGAATGTTGAATCATTACTGACAATTCTATGAACTGGATAGGCATTGTTTTCTTCTGCTTTAAAAAGATATCTGTAGCCATGTGTTTCATCTTAGAGATCATATTGGTAGCATAGACAATATGAACATTTTTAAGTGGTTAAAATGGTAAATTTATGTTATGTGTGTATATCACAATTAAAAAGTACAGGCTTTAATGAGAAAGGACTGTTTGGCCCTTTTCCCAACCCTGGTAGGATATATCTGTAAAAATGTCAGTATTTTAGAAAAGACCTACAGTGCACTGGAAGCATATGATTCCATTTTTAAATTATTAGCAGAACTCATACCTGATAGTCTATTAATATAAAGACATTTTAGTTATATAGAATGCTCTGTAAGAAGGCAAGGGTATATTTTGATAGGGCGAGTTGATAGGGTGAGTTTCACAACCACACTACCACAATTTTTTTTTTTCTTTTTTGACAGAATCTCACTCTGTCGCCCAGGTTGGAGTGCCATCTAGGCTCACTGCAACCTCCACCTCCTGGGTACAAGCGATTCTCCTGCCTCAGCCTCCTAAGTAACTGGGATTACAGGCGCACACCACCATATTCAGCTAATTTTTGTATTTTTAGTAGATCCAGGGTATTACAATGATGAGTACTAGCTTGTCTCCAACTCCTGACTTCAGGTGATCCGCCTGCCTCAGCCTCCCAAAGTGCTGGGATTACAGGTGTGAACCACTGTGACTGACCAACAATTTTTTTAAAAATTCTTTTTGAGAACAAAAGAAAAATAGGAAAATTAAACCTGGCTGAGTCACTGAGAAAATAGAGGAAGATGTATATGTTAGTATATGCAGTATAATTCTGACATTATAAGCAACTACTATTTCATAGGAATGATGGAGTAATAATGAGAATCCCATTTATCAGGATTTCCAGAAGGCACCCTGTGAATTATAGACCAGTGGAGGTCATATCTGTTCTAAGTTCACCATCTGATACTATACTGATGCAGTAGTTATGTAACATAGTACTATAAGAAGAAATTAGATATATTTAATGTAAAATATATATATATATTTTATTTTTATTTTTATTTTTTTTAAGTAGAGATGGGGTTTCACCATATTGCCCAGGCTGATCTTGAACTCCTTGTCTCAAGTGATCCATCTGCCTTGGCCTCCCAAATTCCTGGGATTACAGGTATCAGCCAACATGTCTAGCCTAATGAAGTATATTTTTTGAAGGTGTTAACATTTTCAGACAACCTTTGGCAAGATTTATTTGAAAGATTAATTTTGGCTGGATGCATAGTAGCTCACACCTGTAATCCCAACACTTTGGGAGGTTGAGGTGGGTGGCTTGCTTGAGCCCAGGAGTTCACAACCAGCCTGGGCAGTATAGTGAGACCCTGTCTCTCAAAAAAAAATTAAAAATAAAAATTAGTTGCATGTGGTGGTGCATGCCTGTAGTACCAACTACTCAGGAGGCTGAGGTGGGAGAATCACTTGAACCCTAGAGGTTGAGGCTGAAGTGAGTTGTGATTGTTCCACTACACTCCAAGATGGGCAACAGGGCAAGAGACCCTGTCTCAAAAAAATACAGGAAAGATTAAAAATTATTCAAGAATAATCAAGCATAATGTCACTTGGGAGCCTGAGGTGCAGGCAGATTGCTTCAGCTCAAGAGTTCAAGACCAGCCTTGGCAACATGTCAAAACCTGATCTCTACCCCAAAAAAACAAAAACAAAAACAAAAATTAGGCAGGCATGGTGGCACATGCCTCTAGTCTCCACTACTTGAGGGGCTGAGGTAAGAGGATCACTTGAACCTAGGAGTGAGCCAAGATCATGTCACTGTACTCCAGCAAGGTAACAAAGTAAGACTCTGTCTCAAAAAAATAAAAAGTATAATATGATAGGGGGATTATGTATTAGTGGAGGAAACATCTACACAATAAAAAAGGGGGTAAAATGGACATATCTTTAGAACTAGGAGTGAAAACTGTAGGTTAATCTGAGGATTTTTGCTAGAATCAATATTTAATATTAATTTTAATTAAAAAGACAACAAACACATAATGAAATTTACAAGTTCACAGCCAGAATGACTGGGTGATGGGTTAGGAAAATTGCCTCCCATGTTAAACAAAAACTTTCCAACATTTTTGCTCTGAAAAATATGTTTTAGATGGGGTAAAGCCACTAGACCAATGGGCCTGTATTTGTACTATTAGATTTTCACTGTCCCCTTCAAGTTCTATAATGTCCATGATTTCTAGCTCCCAGAATATTTACTTTCTGCCTTTAAATGAACCTTATTTCTCTATACATGCAGGTTGAGTCCCTTATCTGAAAACTCAAAATTCGAAATGCTTCACTGAGTGTTTTCTTTGAGGGTCACATCATGTTCATATTCAAAAAATTTCAGATTTTGGAGCATTTTGGATTTTGGATTTTCGGATGAAGGATACTCAAACTGTGTTATGACAGGCTGAGAAATTACATAAAAGAAACAGGAATTTAATATTCAAAGACCAAAATATTCCATATTACAAAGTACATGTTCTTCCTTATCTAGCTTGCTGTAGTAGTTCACCACCCCATTCTATAATTCATTCCTCTGTGACATCTGGTTCTAGAGAGGCATGAATTAAGACTCTTACATCTTAGTTCCCTGCCATTTACATGAGGTGAAAGTCAACCTTTTAGATACCTTAACAGCCAAAGCCAAATTTATAATTTGAAGTTTACTCCCCAAACAGAGCTCTACTACTCAACCTTGATTTCTTTCCCAGCGTTTAACAGGGCTATGGTTGACACAATTGGTTTACCCTTCAGAAGGTTCTTTACCTTCTTACAAGATAGTCTTGGTCTCATAAAGGCCCAATTATATAATCATGGCCATTAGCTTATTTATTATATTATGGTTTTATTTTTATCCAATTAGTAAATGAATTTTAACAACTAAATTTTGCTAATGAAATATATCAAAGTAGCACCAATCCCTGATATCCCTTCCTCATCCTGCCCAACAGTTAGCCAGTGTTTATAAGCTATTTCCTCAAGTATTTATCTCCATATTTCTAAATAACCTGAATGGACTATCATCTCTTGATGCACTATTACCATATTCACTTGCTATAAATTAGAGTTCCATCTCTGTAATTTACTTGTTATAAATTAGAGTTCCATCTCTTCTGCATTTCCTTTCTACGCTTCCATCTTCCCAGTATTCTTATATCATATTCTTTGTCAATTTTAATTGTTTTCATTATAAAGATGATGTAAATATTGTTCATTGCTTAGTGAAGTAATATAGTGTGATAATATGTCTGGCTAATATCTACTTGGATATTCTAATTTTTTTATAAAATAGAAAATAATTCATTGGGCTTTTTCTGCTCAAACTGTCATTGAGCTTATGCCATATGAAGTGATGTTAGAGGTTGTTTTGGGTGGTATTACTAATATTTTAACTTGGAAATAATGTGTTTTGTAGTTGTGCTTTATTTTAGGAATAGAAATTCTTGTCTTTTAGTAGAAAGTAAAAAATTCTCCAAGATATCCTTGACCAACCTAAGGATTGCCAGAAATAATTAGAAATAGAAACTTGAAGGTAAAGAAGAAGGAAAGGGACTTTAAGTGCATTGTAGTCTAACAACAGATGTCTTCTGGAATAGAATTTTAGGTAAGATGAGGGATATAGAGGAAAT